ATTTGACCATAAGTTGACAAACGGCATCTTTCAATGTAAAATGGAGTAGTCTTTATAAAAGAGGATATCTTCGAAAAAGTAATTCCTGTAGAACGAATAACACATATCGTAGAAGGCCCTGCCGAAGCCTGGTGAGATGGCCAAGTTGACCGGCAAGGGGCGCGTGTAGCGCAGTGGGTAGAAATGCCTTGCTTTGCACACGTGGTCGTTGTCTCCCCCCCGCGCTTCTGGTCTACAAAACCTACCATCCCTATGGAGTTAGCTATTGCTACCAAACATTCCTAGGAGAACAGCAGCAATGAACTGAAACATCGATAAGCTACCGCATTGTAGTACAGGGCAAGCATGTATTCATTAACCTGTAATGGTGTTTGATGAAATCGAATGCATACTTCAGGAATTGGTCAAAACCAGAACTTTTATCTTTCGTTTTTACTTGTTCATCAAGAGAAGAAAAGCTAGGTTAAGACGTTGTAGTGTAAGTGTGATTTGAAGGTTAAGGGATGAACACTTATTCATTGTAGTGTATCAGTGAATCCTCATTGAACTGTTCCCAAGATCGACTTTTTATTAACCTCAACATTGGATTATGAATTCGTCGTTTTCTCTCTCAGCAATCGCGAGGTTGTTAAACAGCATACGTTTACATCCATTCAATAACACAAACAAAACAACCGTCGCTGACGTTTCGGCAGAATCGCCTTCTTCAGAGCCTGGAAAGGTGTAGTGATGTGCAATTTACTGTGTCAAACGCTTCAATGACACATTCAGAAAGATGAGAATCTAAATGGAAATCAAATGGTCAAGAGCTTCTCGAAAAACCCACTGTTTTTCTAAGTGCCTTCCACTGAGGAAGAGCCACTGATCAGAGTCGTATATGCTTGACGATCGCACCTCCCCTCCCTGATTGAACTCTTGAACAACAATTAGCGGAAATCATAAATTATACATTAGTGACTCAGCGCATACGGTCTGAACGTATTCTGGTACTCAGTTTTATACATGTGAATCCTTCCACTGTCAACCACTCAACAAACCAAACATAACATATGCTTGGTTAAGCTCAGTGTCTCTGTTCGCTATTTTTCTTCATTCATATCAATGCATGAGCCGTGCATGAGCCAATTATTATCTATTTAAATTGTCTACTCGTTGAACCAAACGGAACCTATAAGGGTATTCCCTAGAGTAAAGCTAGAATGTGTCCTTCTTATTCTTGACTTTTCAGTATGTTCTCATCTTTTAAATAAGAACATTTCATGAAAAACTTCGCTGTAGAGGAAATACTCATTTGCAATGCATAGTCTGCAGTCCAAGTGTGACATAGCGGTTAGCAGTGTTCTGCAATATACACATGATGTTTGGATCGGTCCCGCACTCAAACCCTCCTGTGTCGGCAGATTGGAAGCAGAGTTTTCTGAGAGGGCAAAAACTCCGATTCGATTTGTCGATAAGCCTTGGTAAGTCCCTGTATAAGCCAACTATGCATTCAATCATGTAGCATCCGCAAAAGTTTGATTGACGTCAAACGTATTTAACTTTTAACCATGGAATTCAGGCAACACGAATGCGTTATGTGGGTAAAAAAAATCTCAATTAACTATATGGCTGTATGGCTGAAACGTAAGCTCGGGACCAGTTTCATTCTTTTATAAAGTTTGATAACAGCTCCTAATGTCTTCTATTGATATACGAAGGGTTTAGATATGGAAACGCTCGCGATTTCATATTCAATACCTGCATAGGTTAAAAACATGCCCAAAGAGTCTGGTCCGTAGCAAAGCCATCTATTAGTAGAGTAGCTGGAGTTAGAGTTAGTGAAACATTGCGAACAAATCGTATGATGAAAATATGTGGATGCGTTTGTATGCTCTTTTAAGGGAAGCTTGGCTTTGCTTAATTCACTTCCTACTACTTACTCACTACCACTACCCTTCCTTTTAACTCCCTTCTAGCACTCATATCTCTTCGTCCTTCACCACACCCCTTCCCAGAATCGATTCTGTCACGGAATCGATGGCAAGCAGCGGTTCCTTTCAGCTGCAGATTAGTATTAGGTAAGCATTTTCAGTTTTCTTTCTCTTCTTTATTAGAGAAGTTAGCGCACTAGGAAGGTGTTCACACAACTAAGAGAACGCGTAAACCACCTGTACTAATGGTTTCCTGCGCTTCTAACGGTATAAATATCTTTGTCACCGTTCACGATAACGTTCTTAATAGGATATTGCCCTACTTAATAATGTTATATTCCATTATTGCAGAAGAAGTCCTCAAGTTTTTGATGTTTTCGTAATGTCTCATGTACGTGAAAGGATTCACGGGCTTAATCTCATTTGCAACCATTTGTTTTCTACTTTTCAGTCGCTTGTTGTACTAAATTTTGTTGTCTACTCCTCTCCTTATTTTTAAGAGTTGCCTATTGGTCTTTGATCGCCCGAGGGATATAAATAGCCTCGTACTTGTAGTATGAGTGGTTTATTTTTAGTCTTTGGTAAAAATATAGCTATGGGTAGTTCAACAAGTTTTCCCGTTCAGAAGTCCATTCATAGTTGATATGGAAATGTCCAACTCCTCAGAGTCTACTGAAGAGATGAGTGCAAGCTCTAAATCGGTATTCGGCACTCAGAAAGCGCTTCTAGCCACAGCGAAGTGATAAACCATTAGTGGAGGACTGCTTACACGCAAATTTTATCCCGGACATTGGTTCGCTGGCAACATATTAGAGTGAAGCGGCAGCGAGATAAGTAGGAAGCGGTTCAGGGTTCTCTCCAATATACGCTTGAATGGCTCTATAAACAATCCGTTTGTATAAACAGCCATCACGCCAGAGTCCGTCAAGCTACCGTCAGATAGCCTTTCGTCGAAAATTTTGGAAATAAACGGCCTCGTAGTAAATATATGACTCGTGCCTCTCCCGTATCCCTTGGATGTGGGTAACCCACCCAATTGCTCCGACGTTCTACATGGGCAAATGGAGAGTTCACTAGGGCCCCTTCGATGGTTAATGAGATTTTAGATGATAAAGATCGTAATATACAGGGAAACTATTTCAGTCGAGCAGAAAACGGCGACGCTGTATTTTACAAAGTGGATGGAGAACGCTTTGAGGGAGGTTCAAAAACGTTGAAATTTTCTACTAACACCAGATATAAGATTACACTCACCAGCAAACCGCCCACTCATTTCCAGTGAGTTTCTTTACCTTGATAGACCACGACATTTGCAAAACCGAAAGATTAAGCAAATGAAAAAAATGAAGTATGTGGAACCATTCATTCTGGATTCGCTTCTTCAAGGAATTTTTCTAGCAAAAGTCTGAATTTTGGTAACCGCAGTGATCTTTTTCGTTTCTGAAGTGGAAAGAATATGAGAGTTATCATTTCAGTCAAATGCATCTTGCTGGCTGTGATTTGCAGTTGCACACTGATGTTCCAAACAGTGGCCAGTATACGACTGAATGGAATACCACGGGAATTGACGTGTGCAAAAAGGGAGCCAGGAATAATATCGGTCTTACTTTACAGGTACTTCTTACTGTTTTGCTTAAAACATTTACTCCTGCACTTTTGGTGTGAAATAGTTCTTATTCGTTGCATTATAAAGCATAAAAGATAGAGTACTCGCCGTTGATCGGCCCATTCAGGACGCCTCATGCATTCGACCCCATTGATTATCGTAGAGGTGACTGAAAACACATATTTGGCCTAAACAATAATTTTCGATAAGCTACCGATGTAGCAAATCAGTGTATTTTATAAGCTACTGACTCTGGAGGTCTGAGGGATTGCTTTACTCGAGGCACGAGATCGAACTAATGATCCTGTATGTACTTTGCAATCACCTCTAGCCACTTCTCTACACATGCCTTTCGGCATTATATGTAATCTCAATAGCTCAAGAAGAGGTAAAATCGAATATCTGTATTTTGTAAGGGATCTACTCATGGCACCATATCAGATGCGTTTTCAATAGTTAACCATTTCTTTGAAGGAAAAGAACCAAGAATTTCCTAGACTACGTCGCAAGTTACTCAAAATAAGACCAAGACAAGAAAACAGAAGAACAATAGAACAATGAACAAGTCCTGTATTCGGGCATTAGTGCTTCGCAGCAGTCAATGACGATAATTCCACATCTGACCGTTAACACGACCCGCAACGGAGCAGTTTTTCGACACGAGCCATTAATTCACCGATGAATGGAGTACTTGAGAAGTAGCGAACTTGCTAGACTTAGAAAAGAAACTTGCCATCTTTTATAAAAGTCTTCGTGATCGTATATAGTTATTCTGTAGTATAGTCCTAGTTTAAAATGCTTAGCATTCAAATTTTGGAAAAATCGGAGAGAATGGATTTTTGAGTCATTTCACGAGCTCTAGCAGGCCGTAAACACATCAGTGATGTTTGGTGTTTTCGGGAGATTTCACCGCGTGCTGATGGACGAAATATCGCTTTCTTACTCACTCTACCGAATACGAACCTCCTTGAGGAAAGCATAAAAAAGAATAGAGCTCTCGGCATTGAGCAATCTCTGAGGAATGCGCCATACATTCGACTTCATTAAGTATCGTTGGAGGTGACTGAATGAATATCTGGCCTTTACAATAACTCGCGGTGGCCTACCGATGTGTCGAGCCAGTGCTGCTGTCCTCCCAGACAAGTCTGGTACCAACTACTGGTAGCTTGGTACTGGTTCCTTGAGGAAAAGCTGAAAAAATCGTGCTCCAACGAATCAGAAATTCATAGTGGCTGAGTAGGAGAACTAGTATCTTGTAGCCAAAGTTATGTAGATTCTAGTGGTTTCTGTGGTTCAATTTAGGCTAAAATATGTTGATTTGAAGTTGGAAGCATCCATTCTTCTTGCATAGAATACATTCTAATCGATGCATATGGGACATTGTGTGTTGAAGTTGAGAAAGTAAATCACTCATCACAGACGTACGCATTGAAATCAATACCGATTATTGGGAATCCATTAAATATTACGTCTGTGCTAAAAAATAAATCTCGACATTTCTATGGTACACGCGATCGCACTATAGAGCTTACCACTACGAGGGTTACAAGCACACATCGTTTCGAATCCTCTCTTGGTCTAATCAAACGCACTCTGTCTCTCTCATTAGAAGCAGTTTCTCTGTAAAGAGCAGAAGTAACTTTCATAGAATTTACTGCATTTACTGCACGAGTAAATACGAGATGGCTGCTTTATTCTTTATTGACAGAATAATTTCCGACTTTCGCCAATAAGGAGTAAAGGAACAGACTCGTGTTTGCTCATCAGGAGTACAGTGAATCAATTGATCAACGCCAAGGTTAATAGAAAGTCGGTCTAAGGGGATTTCATAGGATTGTTAGGTTATGGAATAGAATGTGAATATAACGAGATATATTCCAACAATTCCCAAGATCGATTTTCTATCAACCTCGGCACTGGATTATAAATGTCTCGTCTTCTTTCTCAGCAATCACGAGGTTGTTATTCAGCGCACTTTTACTTCGTTACAAGAAGAACACATATAACACAACGGTAGCCGACGTTTCGGCAGTATCGCCTTCTTCAGAGCCTGGAAGGGTGCACTGGTATGTAATTTGCTAGATCGAACGCTTCAACAGCACAATCAGAAAGATGAAAATTTGAACGATAATTACACGATCAGCAGCTTCTCGAAATGCCCACCGTTTTTTCTACCTGCCTTCCAGCCAGGAAGAACACCCTCTTAGAGTCGCATATGGTTGATGGCTGCACTACCCCTCATCAAAAAGCAATTGTGAGGTGAAAGGCTAGATCACGTGTTATCTCTGGGCATTTTTCCATGCTATTCATTCCCGGGTTCTTGACGTTTATCCAAAAGGGCTCGAGAAGTTTGCGCGTTGATGTTTTGGAATCCTGTGCGAGAATAACGACTTTTATATCGAAATCGTCTCCGCTATCATTCTTCCTGGGTGTTAGGCAGGTAACAGAAACGGTGTTTTTCGAGAAGCTGGTGATCGTACAATTATTGTTCAGATTTCCATCTTTCTGTTTGCGTTGTTGAAGTGTTTGACTTAGTAAATTACATACCAGTGTGCCCTTTCAGACTCCGAGGAAGGCGATACTGCAGAAACGTTTGCTACCGTTGTGTTGTATATGTCCTTCTTGTGTGGAAGTAAACACATACTGAATAACAACCTCGTGATTGCTGAGAAAGAAAACGAGATATTTATAACGGCATATCGTTACAAAATGTTTAATATGTGTTTTCTTATCTTAGTTCATTATAAATAAAGTCTATAACTTAGAAATACAATGGTTGTTCGGATGAAGCAAAGTTCCACTTGTGAAACATCGACATTATCAATCTTGTTTGTCGTCCTGATCACTCTCATTCATACTAATCTCATGCAGCCACTTATGTCCTCAAAGCAGAAAACTGTCAGAATTGTGCCGTTCCTCTTTTATAGCACATTCAAAATTTTCGCCTTTGTTTCTCTTAGACTTTAATAAGAGTATAATAGAATCGATAAATAAAGTAATACGGTGATTCACTCGCTAGCAAAATTCTGAAAAATCCCGCATCTTTGTTGACGTAATTAAAACGAGGAACACTTATTTAAATCACTTGTCTATCTCATGTCCAAGCGTCAACAACCATCTTAATCAACAATCTTTTTGACTTCCATGATGCTGAGAAATTTGCAAAACTCCGGACCGCAGGTTCTGCGGCGGGGAACGAACGCGCCATTGTCCTTTCCGGGGAGTAACACGTTCACCACTACACCATGTGGGTCCTTCGTTTCGCCTCTCTGTAAGCTGGTTCTATCGATCTTTGCCACAGCAATCACGCGTTAGCGGGAATTGATCTGGGGGGCCCAGATCGGCAACGAACCTATCGATCTTTGCCACAATCTTTTTGATGTGAGCTAACCATTCATTCGATGGCTTTTTTGTCCATTTCTATAAGTCAATACTTGATATCTGTTTAATCACGTTGAGAATAGGAGCTAAAATCAGGAAGTTCATAATCCTCTCTACTACTTCCCAACCGTTCTCCAACTAGCCCAAATAGATATGACCCTGCTTATTTATGTTCAGGCAGCGAATCGTTCCATAGTTCCTGAGCAAGCGGACGTCCTTTTGTTGTGCAGATGATACTGATGATTTTCCATTTCCAGTGTGGTTACAATAATGCCACCAAATTCAAAGGTTATTTCCACCCAGACAATTTCTTATAACGCAAAGTGGATAAACGCCATATTCACATGGACTTCGTTTATATTGCTCATTACTTCCAATGTACCTCGCGGTTGTCACCATGTCCGAACCAGACCACCATTATGAAGACTATAGCGCGAGAAACCAATAGAAAAAGTGACAACTACTAGTGAGGACGAGCCATCCAAGTACTACTTCAGCGAGAAGTGCGACGGTGCTATGAACTTATTCTGTTTCTCAAATAGACGAGAAGGTAGCTCAGGCACTCGTTCGTCAACGGAATTTTCTGCAGTTGAAGGCCGGTGCCGAATTGTCATCACGACGGAGTGAACGAAATCGGTGGAAAAATTTCGTTCTATACTCATTAAAGCATACATGCACACTTTTAGATAAAATATGAAGTAAGTGTACATGTTGAAATATTTTTAATATAGTGAAAAAAGGAAATAGGGACTACGTCACGATCCGCGTCCGCATAAGTTTAAGCATGCGACCTTAGTACATGACGACACTCTTCCTCAGCTTTCATCCATAAAACATCCATTAACATACATTCTCACGCGATAGTGGTTAAGGGCTAAGGACGAAGTAGATACCAAATTTCGCATATTTCCGAACGAAACTCTCAAAGTCCTTAACCACAATAGCGTGAGAAAGCTTAGTTCCAATTTTACAGCTGCGCAAAAATCTGGTAAGCGATAGGTTCGAGAGCTAATAAAATCAAAGGCTATTAGGTTATCAATTAGTGATAAGGGTGGATAGTTTGCAGTCATCACGCCAATTAGATGTCGATATAACGGAAAAACATCTTGAAGACGCATCCCTTTGCCGCCCATCTACTGAAAAGGAATTCAGAAGTCGAAATCGAAAACCGAACAACGAATGGGTCAAAATGGCAAGCGCAGCAGATTTAAAACCAGCAGACATTTCGCATCCTAAGATGGAAGTACCGATATGTCCCATTTTACTTATCAAGACCCATAAGTTAATATCCGCCGATAATCTGGTGTCTGTCGACCCCTCCACCTTTAAAGTTAGACCTATCATCAGTTGTGTAGACGGGCCTACGGATAGAATTCCTTCGTTTATAAATCTAATCCTCAACCAGTTGCTTAAAAACATACTGGCCCATCTCACGAACACCCAAATGTTCCTAGACCGTCTGCGCAACGCATGTCCCAAAAGCGCGTTCATTATGGAGTCGTTTGACGTTACCGCCCTTTACACTAACGTGTCGAACGACTCCGTAATGCAAGCCATCCGTGAGCTATTTGAGTAACACGAAGGATCAATTAACATGTATTGCTTTTCGATTGAGCAGCTTATGGTCCTCCTAAAGGTCTGTTTAAACTGCTCGATTTTCAGATAGTCCGGGAAATAT